AATAACCAAGCATGAACATTCCCTTAGAATCTTTTTTATCTGCTAATTTTTCACAATCCGTAAAACTCAACTTGCTAGTGATTTTAGTAATTTCTTCATCTAACATTTTTGCTATAAAAATTAAAAAAAAAAAAAAAAATGCTAGAAGTTGTTTTAAACAGTATCAATATTTTATATAATGTTACACGAAAAGAAAAAAAAACTAATTTATATAAAAAATCACAATTTTCTTGCACACTATACATTAAATTCTTGCACATTAAAAAAATTTCTTGCATATGTACACCTTGTGCATGCCAATTTTAAACATTGAACACAACTATGTTTTTCGGAGGTTATTCGAGTTCGATACAATCTGGTCCGTGCGAAATACAATGAATACAATCATATCAATGAGATGCCTGTAAGGATGTATCGACACATAACGATAAGTGGAGATCATCGAGTTCTTTTGCACTTCGTTAAAGAAAAATGACAAGAGTGATAGCATCTGAAAGAAACTAATTTTGAAGATGATTGATAGTAAGTAGATAACACGCGCAATGTATATTCTTTTTTTTTTAATAAAAAAATGGCAATTTATATTGTTGATATGGATGAAATATGAAAAATCGGCTTAGCCGGTCGATTTTAAAGAGGATTCAAAATTTTATGCTGCCGTTCCAAAAATTAACGAGATTGAAAATATACAGCGTAAATTTAAAATACGAGCCAAATTTTAGATAATTTTCGAAGAACTTCAAGCAAAATTGAAAATAGACTAAGCCGGCTAAGCCAATACGGCTTAGTAATAGCCGATCGATCAGGATAGCGCATCAAAAAAATATCTGACATGTATTATTCGCATGAAATTTTTTAACTACTTTAGACGGAAGGTTAATTTCTTAATTGCTTAGTTGTTAGTATTGTTGTAGGTTAAATGAATGAAATGATTGAAATAATAAATAGAATATATCATGAAAATTTTATAAATATAACTTATCGAATACAATCACTAAAATAGCTAGCAATATACGTACAACTATTTCTTAGTTTTCTGTATATAAGTTATCAAATAGCAAGATATATATTAACAGTTAAATTTCAACTTTGTGTGTAGCCATTGAGCGAACCAATAATTAAAGTTTCCATTCTCAAACGTGAATGTTATAGTTAAATTTTGAGGTGGTATAAAGTAACCATGACATGAACTGTATATTATATCATTGCATTGTGATTGGCTGTATTGGTTTATGAAAATTAATATAAAGTTCCTAAATTTTTTTTTTTTTTTAGAAAAAAATTTTTACTGTCTATTATAATCAAAGAAAAACATGTCTTACACAAATTATGGTGCCCCGGGAGTCCCAGCTCCACCAGGAACGATCTATAGTGCAGCTGCCACCACATCTACAACATACAGCGGTGGTAGTGTGCCCCCACCATCGTCTTATGGAAATGGAAATGGTAGTTCTTCGTATAAAAACTCATCAAACTATAGCTCATCTTATACTTCTTCTTCACGCTATGGTAATGACCGTGGAGTAGATCGTTCGTATGATGACCGCAGTCGAAGAGATCGAAAGGAGTAAGTTACTTTATGTCCGAAAAAGCTAGCTAGCACTCATTAGTTTATTTGATTGACTTTTAACAATAAATAAATATATATATTTATATATATTTTTTTAAAAAAAAGAAAAAACAGTCAAATATAGTGAAGTTTGCGATCGCTTTTTCTAAATAAAATATATATAAAATTCTAGCATTATTGTTTTTCTCCGAGATCAAATTGCTGAGAATAACAAAACTTATATTATGAATTAACTCTTTAAAAATTTTCTAGATATGATTCTCGTAGCGGTTCAAATTATAGAGAACGAAGCCCTGGATATGATAGATATAGTACTGGTGAGCGTTATGCCAGTTCCAGCTATCGACCCAGTGCTACAACAACACACGCCGGTGATCGCATGACAAATCTTGGATCAAGCTTGACAAGACAAGATTGGGATATTACAAAACTTCCAAAGTTTGAAAAGAACTTTTATCGTGAACATGCCGAAGTCATTTCACGTTCTCAAATAGAAATAGAAGAATATCGAAAGAAACATGATATGAAAGTCTTTGGTCGTGATATCCCAAAACCCGTTGAAACTTTTGAAGAAGCCAATTTTCCAGGTATATACAAACTATTTTATATGCAAATTATATATTAATTATTGATGTTTTATTTATTACATGGTATTCATAATTCTAACCATTTTTGTTTAATAGCCTATGTTTTGAACGAAATTCTTGACCTAGGTTTCACTTCTCCAACGCCAATTCAATCACAAGGATGGCCGATGGCACTTTCTGGTCGTGATGTGGTGGGTATTGCTGAAACTGGGTCAGGGAAGACTTTGGCTTACTGCCTACCCGCCATTGTTCACATAAATGCACAACCTTTCCTTCAACCTGGTGATGGTCCTATTGTTCTTATTCTTGCTCCAACACGTGAATTGGCCGTGCAAATCCAACAAGAATGCACAAAATTTGGAAAGTCATCAAAGATCAAAAATACCTGTGTTTATGGTGGCGTTCCTAAAGGCCCTCAAGCGCGTGAACTTTCTCATGGTGTTGAAATTTGTATTGCTACACCCGGTCGACTAATCGATATGCTAGAATCAAGACGAACTAATCTTCGTAGGGTAACATATCTTGTATTGGATGAAGCTGATCGTATGCTGGATATGGGATTTGAGCCTCAAATTCGAAAGATCGTTGATCAAATTAGACCAGATAGACAAACTCTTATGTGGAGTGCTACTTGGCCAAAAGAAGTCAAGCGCCTTGCAGAGGATTATCTTCATGATTTCATTCAAGTAAATATCGGTTCTTTAGATTTATCTGCAAGTCACAATATTGCTCAAACGGTTGAGATTTGTACCGATTATGAAAAACGAAATAAGTAAGTTTATAATTCTTTGAATTTTTTATTTTCACATAGGATCAATATTACTATATTTTTACAATTTACGTATTAAACATGTTATTTTATTTCCTTGTACATATAGGTTAGTCAAACACCTAGAACGGATTATGGATCAAAAAGATAATAAGACATTAATTTTTACTGGTACAAAACGTACAGCTGATGATATTACAAAATACTTACGTCAAGATGGTTGGCCAGCACTTGCAATACACGGCGACAAAGCGCAAACTGAACGAGATTGGGTTTTAAACGAATTTAGAAGTGGTAAATCACCAATAATGGTAGCCACTGATGTTGCTTCTAGAGGAATCGGTAATATTTTATTATGCTATTTCTTGTTAATCCGTTTTGATTTCATAACATGCTCTTGCCCCCTGCGTGTGTGTGTAGGTCCCCCTAAAAAATGCCAGCAGTAGCCGCGGGCAACAAGTATACATATAATATAAAAAAGAAAAAAAAAGGAGCGAAAAAAATTAATTTTTTTTTTTTTTAAAAAAAAAAATAAAGTATCGGACACAAAAAAAAAAAAAAAAAGGATACGAAAAAACATACCGTGTGGCAGGTTAGGTTGCTACTAGGATCTTGTCTGTTGCCTTGGTATTTGGATTTAGCTCTGGCCGATCAAAATTATGTTCATCACGTAATCTTTCAATGGCCTGGCTTTCTAGAAGAAATGATCGCATTGATGGACACTAGTCTAGTTCAAGCGGTTTTTAGGGGCTTTCAACTCTAGTAGAATTATAATGGATGCCGTCTTTTTTTTTGTTTCACAAAGAAGCGTCATATCGTGCTGTCATCTTGATACTTTGTTTGCTTGCCGCTGCTTAACGATTTGGCATTGGGACTTACATATCCTTTTTTTTTTTTTTCTTCATTTGTTTCTGTTTATGTTTCTTGTCTGATTGTCTGGTCGTTTTTTTAATGGTGCACATTATTTGCCATAACTAAAAATGCCCGTTGTGTGCATAACGATCATATGACTTTGGATAAGTACTCATGGCAATGTGACCGGCATATGTGATTTGATTGATTTGCTCACAAACATTTTTTGGACTCCAGATGTTAAGGATGTTAAGCTCGTCATTAATTATGACTTTCCGACTAATGTTGAGGTAATGAGGGTTTCTATTTCTTTAGATCGTATTTAGTATTCTTTAAAATGTAATATTTGGTTTTAACGTAATATTTGTCTCTTTTTTTTCATTCAGGATTATGTTCATCGTATTGGGAGAACAGGACGTGGTGGTGCTAAGGGCTCTGCTATAACGTTTTTCACAATGGAAAATGCCAAACAAGCTAAAGATTTAGTAAATATATTGCGAGAAGCTAATCAGGAGGTTGATCCAAAACTTTTAGATTTTATGAAGATCGCTTCTGCGAATGCTACTGGAGGTAATTTATCAAGTATTAATTAGGCTATATAATGTAAAAATTTAACATGAAATTATTTTTAAATACATAGGTCGCACAAGATACAACAACAACAACAATAATAATAATAATGGTGGTGGTGGTGGCACTAGTGGACGTGGATATACTTCAGGCGTTAGTAGTCGCTCTCGTTGGTAATTAGTCTAGACATATGACATCATTAGAAAGGAAGGGAATGCTAGTAATTATAAATCATATTAATGTCGTGGTTATGCTTTTATACACTAAAAATTATGTGTATGTGGCAATTAGCTTAGTATAACTTTGCTGATATAAATAAATTTTGAAAATGTGAAGGTTCTTTTATGATGCGAAATTAAAATCACGTGATAAACTTTTGTGATAGCACTGAAAATTTTTTTGTTGATTAGTACGATAAAAAAATCGCGTCGTACGAAATTCTTTAACCATACGCTATGCCTTTATAATGCAAAGTAAATAATTGTTGTTTGGATGTTAAATTTTATCTTTACGCTTTTTTTCGTAAATTGCCTTGGTTTATGGTAGATTCAAGAACCCAGACGACATTCGGCCTAATTTAGGGTTAGGGTTAGGTTAAGGGTTAGGTTAAGGGTTAGGTTAAGGGTTAGGTTAAGGGTTAGAGTATAATTTAGGCTGATTTGTTTAGTGCTAGTAAACAAATGACGTCATGTAAATCGCTGGGTTAAGTGTCCCGATATTTTTTTTTGTATGGATTTTTACTAATTATTCGAATAAATTTATCGTTATTCGAATAAGATTTGTTTATTCGCATCATTTATCGTATAATTATGAAAAGTTTATTCGAAATACTGTATTCGCTGAATACAAATACGTAAGCTCTAAGGGCACGTAAAGGGATGGTTGCTCGATTAAGCATGTAACGATAAAATCAAGTTCAAGGGTTAATTTTTACATACAGTACGAATTTACATATCAGATATATGCTAACAAATCATCCTAAACTAGTGATTTGAACCGAGAAAAAATTCCTTAGTCGGGTAACCGAACCGAAATATTTAATGTCAACCGATTGCAACCGA